CACACCAGAGGAGCTCCTGCTCACTAAAGAGTCCGTTTCTCTTCCATTGTCCACTCCTCCTGCTGTGAAATGCTCCATTTCTCACCAGGAAGCCAGTGGGAGCCTTGTGCTTAAATGAGCCACTGCCTTCTGGCAGCAGAGGTTTTTCCAGGCCAGGACTGTTAGTAGAGGCTGGTTGATGCCAGCTAATGGCACTGAGAGTTGCATTATGTGTGGGAAATACTATGGCTGCTTTCTCTGAAAGAGCAGCACGGGTGCAAAACGGGGAAAGAGGTAAGGAACTGAGTGAAGAGGTGGAGTAGAACATGAGTATACTTGATCTGAAAGTTAGGAATTGAGCTGTATTACAACTGCTGTGACAAAATCTTAAAGTTTATGGCTAAAGAAAGTTATCTGTGGGATACAAATATAAGGCTTTAGGGATAGCTTTCACTGTCTGGCTTTTGGAAAGATCTAATGTGGCTTTTGTTTCTCTCTAGGAATAGGGCGACAAGCTGAGGAACTCACTGCTGAGCAGAATCGGCTTGCTGTAAAGTAAGAATGTAATGTTTCTAGTGATTTGTGTTTAATTTCATCCAAAGAAGTTTAGGGTTTAGGTTGCTTAATGACATGGTCATTAAAATGTTCCCTTTTTCTTTCCAGCCCATGATAAGACAAAAGTCCTACCTGTTTTTTTTTTCTGTCATCTTGAGCAGTTTTAGTTTGTAATGCTGCTGTCAGTACTCTCCTTACACAAATATATACTCTCTGCTTTATTTCTTATTTCTTTAGTCTAAGCCTCCTGTCTTTATCACCCTGTGCTGGTCAGTAAAGCAGTGAAGTACTTGGCAACATCTCGTTGACTTAAATATAGACTCCACATGCAACAAAATTAGTCTTTGCTGAATCAACTCGTTTATATTCAAGCCAAGACTGTACTGTATAGACTTTTGGGTGTTGTCTTCGTCTTACTTTTGATATGTTGTTTTTCCAAGCAGCATACTTCTCCTCTGTCAGCAAACCACTGTGGTAGTAAAAATCTGTTTTGGTTTGACTCTGCCACTTCAAGTACTGCTTTTCTTTGCTATACTTCTTGGATTCTGAAATTTTATTTTTCCTAGCTCCCTCTGTAATGTTAACACTCCTAGTCCATCGTGTTGTGTGACTTGTCCTCTCAGGTTTTGGAGAGAAACTGCATGTTTGTCGTATCTTTGAGCACCTTTTTTTCCCTAATTTATCTCTCAATACACGTGCAGGATACAGGTGATTTTTTTTTTTTTTTATTTATTTCTTCTTTTTTTCTTGAAGAATTAGTGTTACTGAATTAGTCTTAGAACCATAGCTACTATTCACCATGAAACGTTCAAGGCTGAGGAAATGATTTCCTTCATTTCCAAGGCAGAAGATTCAGCCATCAGAAAATCTGCTGATGAGCCTCTAAAAGTAAGGAGGGAGTAATTTCTTGAAAAGCAGAAATCCTGTAGGGAGACTTGTTTAACTTTTTGTAAGACCAATAGCTTTGTGTCTATTTTTATAGCTCACAGCATAATTTTAGCTGTACTGGGCCCTTGTTACAATATGACTAATTCTAGTCAAATTCTCACCAAACAGGCCTTTTTTTTTCTTTCTTGTACAGTAGATGAGCTCATAACAGAAAAGTACATGCCAGTAACTCAAGTGCTGGTGGCAGACAAGTCACAACTGAAGAGTTTTAAATCCCCTTTGGTAATACAGCCTTTTGTCTTCCCTCCTGTTCTTGGTCTGTTTTTGTTTCTCACTCATCCTCTGTACATTCCTTCATGCATTGCTCATGTCTCCCCACCCAACCATGTGCAGAATCTAAGCTGAAACTAATGACTTTATTTTTAATCTTACTGTAGAGCTCAGAAGCCCAAATTATCGACCTGATTTTGCAGAACAGAAAGATGAGCCTTACCCCAGTTGTTTGCTGCATCATTCTGTGAAATGCTTTCACCAGAGAACATACCATTTAGGCACTAACATCTACAATAACCAGCAGCATGAATGCAGAAAATCCTGGCTAAGCTAACTGTTTTTTCAAGCTAATTCCGCATCAGAATAAAAGTAGGCAACAGCAAATGTTTAACTGTTGCTTAGTTTTCCTGCTAGAAAATTGGTTTGTTCTGAAGGAATTTTAAGTGGGTTTTGGTCTATGAGTGTTCATCTGTTTCTTGGATAGGAGAGCCCTGAACCACTGTGCTCTAGTTTCTATACTCATCCTTGTTTATTTGGAGAGCGGCTATTAGGATGTTAGTGGAGAGCACTGCGTATTTCTGTAGAATTTGGATGTTGGTGTTTTCCGCCACATCAATAAAACAAGCCCAACAATTTACAAATTGCACTAGTGGTGAGAGGCCTGTGCATCTTTCTTTTCCATGCCACTGATCCATAGTAAGGGCAATGGATCTTCTTCATTTTACATCTAATATAAAACCCCAAAGGAACTTGTGGGAATTTGCAAAATGGAAATAATGAACATGATGAATTTTCTTTGACTTTCAGCTTCAAGTGTCTTTTAATTTATGGTGGTTTTTTTTCCCAATCAGTTCCTTTTCCTGTTTGTGGTACAATACAGTCAATTACTTCCTTCATTTGCACAGTAGAACAGAGTGCCTCTTCATCCTCTTCCTCTATGTCTCACATCACACTTCCCATTCTTCAAAAGGCTGAACTGAAGGGTGCATGAGAGCTCCTTTCAGGCCTGGGAGTCCTGGTCTTAAATGCTCCATGCCCTGTGGTCTTCATGAGAAGGCAAGGTACTGCATGGCACAGCTTGGTGAGACCAGTGTAGCTCAGCTTGCAGTTTACCAGCTGTTACTGGTCCCTGACATACTGGACAGATGTTCAAAGACAATTACCAGCTTCTCACTCCTGATACTGCTGGCCTGTTCAAAATGTGCAAGTCGATTTGTTTGAGAGTGGGTATGTTTCTAAGCAATAAGATGACAACTACTCAAATCAGTAGCATTTGCTCACCTGTAGCTTAAGCACTTCCACGATACCCTTGTTGTGACTGCCATCTGCCAGACATCACTGGGATATAAGAGAGGCTGTGCTTCATATTCTCCAAAACAGATTTAGTGAGCTTTCAGCTGAGGGGAGGGTGGTAGGAGAGAGCTGGAGGCTGAGGCAAACAGTACAACAAAAAGCATTGGTAAAAGCCCTTGCTGTGTTTTACCTTGTTTTGTTTTGTTGTATGTGGATGATTTTCACAGGTCAAGACCTTCTTTACTGGAGTATTTAAGCTATCTCCTCAATTTTATGAGCATCATAGCTGGGCCTTGCAGCAATTACAAGGATTATATAGCCTTCATTGAAGGGAGGCATGTGCACATGAAACTCTTAGAAGTGAACTGGAAGCAGAAGGGTTATGACAGACTTCCTGATCCTTCTCCAACTGTAAGTTTTAAAATGGCAAAGACGTATTGCAAAGGCCGGGAGAGTACAACTTTGAGGATGAATCTCGTAATTAAAAATTAAGAAGAAAATCTATTTTTGGAATATCTTCCCAGTAAACATTAGTGATTTTTTTCCTGTGAAGTGGCCCCTGTTTTTATCTTAGGGTCAGGGGTGAATGGGCTAGTGTCTTTCTCTTGAATTCCCAAATGCATTTGGCTTACAAAACGGGTCATTGGTTAATGCATGTCCTTTGTGTAGCAATGGGAATGGTCTGCAGAATCTGACAATGACAAGTTGCTGTTCAGCTTCAGACAGAAGAGGAATGCAAGTCAAATCTCACCCACAGTGCAAGAGATGTTAGAAGTACATGAATCACGTCTAATCAGAAACGAGCTTCTCCAGCTAGTTTCTTCTTTGTAAGAGACTCTCAAGCTGTAAGATGACGTAGAGGTCATTTTTCACATACTATTAACACAAATTTTATTCTATATATTTAAAATAATACTAAAACCTTCTTAGAAAGTGACCTTGTAAGGCAGGGTAATGTAGCACAAGAACCAAATTCCTCTCCCTTATCTTAAGGTGACACTGAATGTATAGTTTTGTGAGTGTGTGCAGAACGCCTCCTCAGAAGTTGAGTATGTGCCTATGCATATCTGATGCCTGTTGCACACTCTTCTATTTCTACTGACTTTAGTGGTGCTAATTCTGATTTACATTAGTCAGAATAAGACCTATATGGTTTTAGATGCGAGTTAGCAGAAAACATTAAAATTAGCATTAAAGGTAACCGCACATCGGTTTATTCCAGAATATGGAGAATATATAAAGACTACTTGGGATCAAAAAACACACTGTTGTTTCGACAGCATATTGCACTGCTATTGGTCTTTTGAGAATGTGAGTCAATTTTTACATGGCACCCAAGTACTAGATTTACCTTTTTGATTATGACTGTATTAAGAAGAGTTTACTCCTGATGTGTATTAGAAACTGAGCTTCAAACTACTGACATGATTGTCAATAGTAATATATAGAAAGCTAGAGAGCTGTAATAGAAAATACTGTGGCATAGCAGATACACAGCATGCATACCTTGCCACAACATGGGGTAAGATGGATGCTTTTAGGACAAGTGATTTTCAGCTGGACCTCTGGATGGTAGCTGAACAGTAGGACCTACTGTTGTACTGAATGCTTTTGGCTTTCAGGAGGAATCTAGTCTTTAGTTAGAGGAGACGACAATACCTATAGGGAGGATTTCTGGTTTCCATTGTAGGGTTTTGTTTGCTTATTTAATTTCTCATTTGAGGACCTCCACTGACTGATTTTTAGGAGTCTCTCGTGAAGTTCATCACCAATTTTGATTCCTAATTGTCCTTTGTACCTATCTATAGGTAGCTCAATAAACCAAATTAAGCTAAAGCTTTGACTGTGACCTTTTCTTTACCACCTCTTTAAATTAATTATTATCAGCTTTGTCACTCCTAACTTTATTGGTTCTTGAAATGCATTGGTTTTGTATGCCATGAGCACTGCCTTTTCTTTCCCCTTAAGCAAATGTTTCTAATGAATGCTTCATTGTTGTTTGTGTTTTTTAGGGAGCAGTGATGTACAAGCTGTGTATCACACTAGTATCTCTCATTTTATTCTTGACACTTACCAAGAGCTTTCCTATGGCATATATTATTGATAACGAATTTCTTGATAAAACACCCTTCTTGTCAAGACTTGGTTACCTGTATGTTGTAGCACAGGCAGCAAAACCAAAGTATTACTTTGCATGGACATTAGGTAAGTCTGGCTACATTACTTATTTCTGTGGGTAACAAGTTCATAAATGGGGGAAGTGGTCTGAAACATGAGGGATGCGGGGGACCAAATTAGTTCCTAGACCTGTAGTCCTTGTGGAAGTGGGTTCTTGTGTTCTTGTACATGCATTCTTGTAGGCAGTGGACCCTGCTTAATTGGGGAGATGCCAAAAGTTTTGAAAAATATGTATCAAACCTACCTTGTGTGACATTCCCTAGGCCAAATTCCCACTGACATCCAATCTGCTTTTCAGGTGATTGCCAGTAAAGTCAATTCCATCTTACTTAAAACTTTGTAACTGTACCAAATTAATTTTACTGAGGGGAAGAAAGTTTGTCCACTCTAAACTTTGATTTTTATACTTTATTTATAATTTACATATATCAGTAGGGTTAGGAGGTTAAAACGTGTCATGCTGGCTCACGCTTTACCAGTATGTTACAGTGCAAACAGATCTCTCTCTTCCTTTAGGGACATCTTTAGTACATGCATATGTATCAGAAAGCTGTGGTGCTTACTGGGGGGCTGAAGTTAGGCTTTGCATTTAGGCACAGTGCAGTTCTCTGCTCATGTTAGCTTTGAGAGCTAAAGAGAAAGGATTTGAGACCGTGGGGAAGGTGGGGAACAGAGGAGATGTTGAAAAGGACCAAAGAACCTCTGGAAGGAGAAGGAGAAGAGAAGAAAGAGGAACTCATCATAGAAAAAAAAAAAAGAAATTTCTTTTATTGGGAGCCAGGTAGACTGGTGGCCAAAATAATGTTTTTGTATTTTACCTTCTTTCTTTTAGAAGTCACCTTTCCCATCTAAGTGTGAGGAGTCGAGTCCTTCTAGGCCTGGCTGAAAATTGAGAGACTGGATTTGTTTTGCTGTTATTACAAAGACTTTGTGTGTAGAGGAGGTCCTGAAAGCCCAGCCAGCAATATATACACCTGAAACCGAGCAGAGTGTCATTGAGATGGGAAGGAAAGAGCCAGGGAAATTGATTACAAGGCTGTGACTAAAACTGACAGATCGAGAGAAAGCGGCCAGGACTGGCATGTGTGGGATAGGAAAGGCTTTGGGATAAAGAATTGCTTGCTCAGAATCTTATTTTTGTTCAACCCAGTGTTAAAATGTTGCCTCATTTTTTTCTAGCATTATAATTAACTAGAAGTCCATTATCAAAGAGATAAACTGAACTTGGATTTGTGATATGACTAAGCCATAGAGGCTGTAGAAATCTCTTTACAAATGAGGCAGTTCACAAAAGCATGCATTGCATACTGGAGGGCGAGGCTTCTATTATTCACTTTTCAAATCTAGGCAGCACAACAGCAGACACTTTATCCTTTTGCAGTTTAGCTCCTGGTGGCATGGCCCAGGGCATCACAAAAGTGCCTGCTGAAAAGGCTGATAAGCGCTTCCTGTCCTCAGAAAAGGACAGGCACGCTATTGTTCAAAAGCCTCGCCGCTGAATTCCTCCAGATCCATGTAAAGACGGAGAATTCAGCTTCTTGCTGCATTAGGGATGGTCATGGGAACATGGCTGTAAATCTAACACAGCTGCTGATGAAATCAATTTGGGTCTGAGCTCCTGCATCCAACGAGCTGTGAAAGTGATAAGCCAGAGCTGTTCAAGTTGGGAAAATCTCAGCTGGGCTTTGTGGAGCTTGGGGTCTTGTGAGGAATTTAAAGGCAGGCAATTGTGGTGGTCCTGTGCTTTGCACCTTGCTCTGCAGACAGCAGCTCAGGAAGCAAGAGGTTGATGGGTCTGCTGTATTATTACGTCCCAAGACTTCTTGTTTCCTGGTTTTGGCAAAGAAACATTAAGTGGTCCCTGCCACCCTTGGAGCAAGGAGGAGGAAATCCAGGATTTTTTTTGTGCCTGCATTTACAAAGCTGACTTTTCTAAAACATAACCAGGCTTGTATTTTGTAAACGATCTAGAATGGAAAGCCTTACCTGTATTGTGTTTTTCCTTTTTGTTCCAATAATCACCAGTGTTGGCTGCACCTGGAGACCCAGAGATAATGGATACCTCCTGTTTTCTTAGTACCCAGAGAGAGGATTTCTGGCAGGAACATGTTGAAAGCATAATCTTGAAACCCAGTGATGAGGTGGTTCCCAGGCAAAGGTGAAAGGGGAGGTAGTTGACCGGCACCTTGGCAAAGAGTTCAGCATGTGAAATGCTTACGAACACCCAAGCCTTTATTTGCACTTAAAGTAGTTAAGTCTGTAATCAAAGCTACTCAATATTTGATATATGGAGGTGGTGAGATACTTTAGTGAGGCACTGAGCAATGGGATTAGCAAAAGTCTTTCTCTGTGGAAGTCTGAATGAAAGTCTTAATTAAACAACCACATTGGAGCTCTTAATAGAAATGGTAAGCATGTCTTTGAGACACTACAGTTCTTAATTCTGGAAAACGCTGTGACATCCAGGTACCCTTTTAAGGAAAGTGCTTAGTCATGTTATGGCAACTCTATCTATCTTGAATAATAAAAGCAAATTAAAGTGATTACTATCTGTTGTTCTTTCATTATTTATTCTTCTGCCCAAGGAGTAGCTAATCTTTCCTCTGGAGGAAATGACTCTTCTGTTGCCTTATAACAGTGCCCTTTGCCAGGAAGAAGCTTCTCTTTGAAAGAGAGCATGCTAATTGCTACAAAGCTGGCTTGAACGTGTGTTTAGTGTCATACTGACTTGTAAGAAAACGTGACTGCCAGCAGTCTGATTTGATCTGTTTTGCTTTGACATTGCAGCAGATGCAGTCAACAATGCAGCTGGTTATGGATTCAGTGGAGTTGATGACAGAGGCACTTTCTGCTGGGACCTGTTGTCCAATTTGAATATCTGGAACATTGAGGTGAGATAAAGCTGTGGCTGCATTGGCATAATCATAGAGAAATAACCATGCTAATGGGGAGAAGCTTTGCCAGAAGGAAAGCAAGTCCGTGCCACTGGGCTACCCCTCTTTAACATGAAGAGGTTTTGCATTTTACCTGCTGGGCAGATAAAAAGCATCTGTCACACAGGCTTCATCATGCTCTGTATTCAGGTTGTGTTTTTTAGTAGTTTATAGAGGGCTAATAAGTGATTATATCAGATGTTTTATAAATGAGCAGTCAATTACTGTGGATTGTGGCTGAGTTCAGCAGGTCAGTAAATTGCTCACAGCTATGATTCTCCACCATCTGTGGTGTATGCTGTTTACTTCTAACAGTCTTCCCACTTTTTTAGCCCAGTTGAGATGGGTGGTGATAGTGAAAGAGGCCGCCACGAGAAGGCATTGCACAAACATTTGCAAAGTCTGAGTCCCTGCACAAGCTTGGAGTGTCTGTTGTAAATGGTGAAGAGCAAGGGTTGAAGAGATAATGGGTACAAACTGAGGAACCTGGATGGGTACTGGCAGGGCCATATAGAACTTCAGATGGCCGCTGATCTAGAGTTCTGTTCAGCAAACCACGCTATTTCTTAGAACGTGTCTTGCACATGTTTCTTGTGACTGCATTAGTCTTTTGTAAGCTACTTATGATTGGCCATCTTTTGCGAGCTATTTATGATTGGCCGTCTTTTGCATTAGAGAAACAATGTAATTTGTTTGCCCCTAAAAGTATTTTGTGAATGCCAGTGAGATGTGAAAATGTGTGTGTCTGAGACTGCTTTCTAAAGGCTTCTTTTCTTTCAAAATAAGAGGAGCTTCCCCCCTGTAATTCTGTAGTTATGATTTTAAAAGGAAAAGCAGACGAAAATAAGTTGACTGCTTTACTGCTGAATGATCTGTGACTAAGCAGATGTGCTGTAATAGCTCTTCTCAAAAATGAGTTCCTGTAGTTCATCATTGAAAGATGCCAAAACTGGAAGTATCATTATACAGTCTGTCTTTCTCAACATCCTTTCTCTGTCCTCCTTTTTTACCTTAATTAATCCTCAGTGTACATATCTCCTTAAGTGGTTCAGAATACACAGCCAGAAATACTTTACACTCCTCAACAGCAGCAGCACCCTAGATACAACTCTGAGATCTTAAATCACTGTCTGATTCAGTTTTGGGGCAGAAGGTGATTCCTACCTTGATGAGTCAAGGCGGTTACTGGTTGAAGGAGGGAAGTGCAAGCAGTGCTTTTCAGTCAAGCTAAATTAAGGAAATGGGAGCCTTTGATTCTCTCTACTCACTGAACTGTAGGCCCCTCAAAACTTCCTTTACTGCTCACAAGGGCAATAGAGATCAGGATGGAGAAATTATTTCCAGGAGCATAAAACAGAGTGCTCTCGATTGATGTGATCATGTGCAAAATGAGAAAAAGAAGCTACAAAAAACATTATTTAGGGTCAACCTTGAATTATCATTTCATGTGCCAATACTAATTCCAGGACTTGAAGTTTAAGTGTGATTGTACAACGTGTTTTCAGCAGGTATAGCCACCTGCATATGTAAAATTGCTTAAAAGTTGGGAAATTGAGTGCCAAATGTGGCTAAGAAATGACCTGATCTGTAGTAAAGATAAGCACATGGTAGGAGTTGTGGGGGCGTTAAAATGTGATGAGGACTTGAAAGCCTAGGCAGCATGCAGATTTTGACAACCAATGGCTACTTTCTCTCTTGGTAATGTAACAGGGGAACTTAAAGGAGGCCAAAAGAGAATGACAATATTAGTTGGCAGAGAAGTGATATTTTTCTTGGCTTCACTTGGTGCAGCAATGCAATTAAAATGTGGTAGTACTACATTGGGAATTGCTAATTGTTTTAACTCCTTAAACACAGAGGATGAAGTGCTCGCCTTCAGGATTCTGCATGGAGTGCAAAAATATCTGCATATTCCCCTTGCAAGCCTTTGTCGTTAATCCATCTTTTCAGCGTGCCTTTCCCTTCAGCTAATATGGCAAAATAATGTGGTGTCAGTGACTCATGTCCCTGCTTGGTGATGTCCTCAGAGGCTTCTGTCAGCAGGCAAGGAACAAGGGGGAGTGGGGATGTGGAACTGTCAGAGGTGAACTGACCAGGATTAGGGGAACTGATGCTGAATGGAGTCCAGCAGCCCTCTAAAGCTGGGGGAATTGCTGCTGTGAAGAGGTGCAGGATGTTCTCCCAGGACCCTGGAGTCCAAACTGGTTTGTTAAGCTGGGCAATGGGCTGAGAATTTGCTTCTAAATTTAGTCCCAACATTTTTGTGCATGTTTTTCAGTCTTCCTTCTGCCTTCTCCAAATAACAATCAATTTCTTTTAGGTTTTATAACACTTTGTTTTAATAGCACTCTAGGGAAGCCCAGACTGCATAATGGGTGGCAAGATATCTCTTCCAAAAATGATGTTGTTTAGGAACTGAAGGAAAGGACAAGCATTTAAAACAAGAAAGCTTTTCAGATTTCCGATGATTTGAAAAATAACCAAACATTGCATTTAATTTTACAAAAGAAAGTGAGATTTGATAGCAAGTGCCAAGTGCTAGTGGTGAGCAATCAGCCTAATTAATGTTCCTCCCAAAACATGTTAGTGTAAGGATGGACTATTGCACAGCAGCATAGCTACTAGAATCAATATTTTCTGTCTATCTCCTCTCTAATTTAAAATGCAAGTATTAGTTTACAGGTGTCAGTGCTAACTTACCGTGTGAATTTCTTTCTTAGACTGCAACGAGTTTTAAAATGTACATTGAAAACTGGAACATTCAGACAGCTGCCTGGCTAAAACGGTAAGAGTAATGAATCAGTGACAGGCTTGTGAGACCCCAAAATTATAGATGGCCTGGAAAGCCCCTGACCGGTGAATCTCACAAATGTATAGCCTCTTGCTGTTTCTTTGTTTCCTCTGTGTGTAACGGTTGGTGGAACACAAGGGTATTTGGTGCTGTAAAGTTTTACTGTTGCAAATGTAAAATGCCTGCATTTTATATATGAGCAGCAAAGGCATAAATGAACTATTCAGGTCTTCCATAATAAAAAGCAGTAGAGTTTTGATGGCATCTTTTAGGCTTCTGTTTGCCTCTGTTGTTCTTTCTGTACTGTTTCATTTTGCTATGTTGTATTTCCCATGTGTATTACTACCAGAGGTGAGCCTTGCTGTGTCACTGGGATTCAGTTCAGCTAGAACTGGAGAGAAATCAAAATGTTCAGAGCCCCCATGTAGTCTGGTTTGGAGTTACCAGAAAATGCTTGCCAGGAGGTCCCTGGTCTTCTCCAGTATATGGAGAACAGACTTCTTATAGCACTGAGAGGATCTGATTTTAACCAGTGACCGATAAGGCACATATAAATACTAGCATAAGTCCTAATTTTGTAGACTGAACTGTCTCTTATTACTCGTTACACTTTTTGGCATGATTAAAGCTCAGCATATATTCAATGTGGTATCTGAAAAGCAGGCACAGATTTATTGCAGTTATAACTTTTTTGGTGTTATATATGTATCTTAAAATTCAATGTCTACTATTTTTCATGATTCAAATGATGTTCATGGTAAGAAGTGCATTATCTTCATTATCTTGACTTGTTTCTTTGGAACACAGCGTTTCAGTTAAACTTCAGATAGCCAAATAGACCAGTTGGTGTGCTCTTGAAATGGTATCATTCGCTTGCGTCTTTGGAGTAAGATTTTGGGCTGCTAAAGTTAGCAGAAATCCCCCACTTTGCAATAGCTTGTGGCACTCCTAGTTGTTCCTGCATTTGCCAGGTAACAGTGCCTAAAAATACCTTCATTCCTGAGTGAAGGGTGGGGTCACATCTCTGCCTTTTGAGCCACTCTTGATCTTGTAGGGTAAAGTATGATTCCAGATAGAGTTTTAAAGGTGAATGAAGTTTTACCTGCCCTTTGCCCCATTATTTATTTAAATGCTGTGAGCACCAGGAATATCTGTACAAGCACGCTTTTTATACTCAGTGCATAAATACATAAGAAAGAAATTCTTTCCTGTTAGGGTGGTGAGGCACTGGAATGGGTTGCCCAGGGAGGCTGTGAATGCTCCATCCCTTGCAGTGTTCAAGACCAGGTTGGATGAGACCTTGGGTGATATGATTTAGCGTAAGGTGTCCCTGCCCACTGCAGGGGACTGGAACTAGATGATCTTAAGGTCCTTTCCAACCCTAATGATTCTGTGATTCTATGATAAAACCTCCACCTAAATGAAGAGAGAGTGCCTCATGGCCTGGTCTGCAAAAGAGGCAAGATAAGACCATTAAGAAAACAGAAGACCTTAAAAACAGAGAAGGTTTTGAACTGCAGTGTCAATTGTTCAATTGTATTCAGCCTTTTCTTGTTTTGTTTTTGTTTTGCAGTGTCTGCTATGACAGAGCTCCCTGGTACCCTACAGCTTTAACATTTATCCTGTCTGCCCTGTGGCATGGTATCTATCCTGGATATTATTTTACGTTTCTCACTGGAATCCTTATCACGCTTGCAGCCAGAGCAGTATGTACCTTTCATTGTTCTCTTCTAAGGCTATGCTAGATACTATCCAGTTGTCAACTGCAGGGACCACCCTGACATGGTGAAGCAGCTTGTCCCTGCTGTGAGTTCTCTCTCGTGCCTTTGCAGGCTTGAAGTTCACTGAAACTTTATTCTGTATTGATGTATTGATTTCAAAGTACCCTGAGCATTTATAACTAGCACCAGTTCTGAACATGCTATATTGCTGTCCCTGGCTGTCAGAGGAAATGTTGCTTGTGGGTCTACAGTTGGCAGTCCTGTATGTCCATATAGTCAAATTAGCTTGAGATTCAAGGATATGCTACAGTCCAGACTTCTGCTAGGTCATGTTACCTATATGCTGTGTGTAATCCGCTCTGGGCCCAGTCTTTCATAAGAAGCTGTTATGAGTTGAGGATTAGCTCAAACATAAACTCTTTCATGGGGATGCGATTGGTGCAGTAAACTGGTTTATGGTGTTTATGTGCCTCATCTTGGGTAGAGTCACCAAAGACAAAATGTTGAAGATATGACTCCCTGTTGTTCAATTTACCACTGCTGATCTTTCAGGCTGAACCAGCCAGTTGCACAGGGCTGGAAAGCACCACTGTTATGAGAGTTTGACTACTGGATAAACAGCCAGGTCAATTTAAAGGTGAATTAAACTAGTGATCATACTAACTGCTATGGCTAGAACAGGTTGCTGAACATGTGTTCTTAATGTGCTTTGACTCTCATTTATGAGGATTTCATAGATATGAAGATAAACTAAAACCTTCAGGGAACAACACATGCACACAAGGGTAAACACGTATTTGTTCATTTAAAGTAATTTTGTTTCACCATAGATAACCAGTAATAAAATCAGGAGGGAGAAACATCAGATCACAACTCCCTTCCCCAAAGATATGCCAGATACCCAGCATGAGAGTCTGCTCCTCTGATTGCTATAGAGGAAACTGGGGGGCACTTCTCTGTTTGCTTCTCTGGATGACCGGTCAATACATGTCTGTCTTGCTACATGCAGTGCTTTCTATCTGGTGTATAAACTTTTCTGTAATACTAATGCTGATGATACATGAAGAGTCATATACTGCAATGTGTCTGTGTGACTTTGCCTGAGAAATTAATTTATGAATTTTTCTGTTTACTTTTTCCTGACCTGCAGATAAGAAACAATTTTAGACATTACTTCTTATCTTCAGTGCCTCTCAAGATAGCCTACGATGTTGTCACCTGGGTTGTCACTCAACTGGCAGTGTGCTATACTGTTGCACCATTTGTTATGCTGGCTGTTGAGCCCACTATTAAGTTTTACAAGTAAGTCTTCTTCTTTTGACTCATACTCTCCAGACTGGTACAGGCTCTTATTAAATAACCCAAAACGACGCTTAAAGGCACTTGACAGTCCATCAAATTTGAAAAGAGTTCAAAAAGGGTGCTTAATAATTTGGTGATTTTTGCACTCCTGTAACTTAACAAGATGATAATAATGCCAATGCAGAACACTTCCCCTGTACTTCTAAGCCTTTCTGTGTCCTTATGTGTCTTTTCACATCTCAGTTTCCTTTTTCAAAACAGTTGAGTCTCAGCCATTAACAGTGGCCAAGGTTGGAGATGTTAAGAAACATGTGAGTTGGCAGTAGGAAGGACTTGATGAGAAAAGACCAGGTTTCCAGCTGCTGAATGCGTAGAACAGGAGATATGATCGATCAGGAGGAGATAAAGAAGGTGCCAGACAGAGCATTACTTCTTGAAATGATTATGCTTTTCATTTTGTGTACTTCATAGGAAGTGATTACTTCCTTAGGTTCCTTAAAAATAGTAGAACACTGGTGTTGCAGAGTATATCAAATATACTCTGATTAAAATAACTTGAAATAGAGAAATTGAAAAAATAATTTGCAAAGGGAGAATAGACTACATTGCTTTACTTTTCTTTCATTCTACAGTGAACTGTCAAAATAGAGTGACAGGTTTCGGTTAAGAAGGTTTTGGTCCTCTAACATAAAAGGCATAAAACTGGTAGTCAAGAAGCTGATGTCAGTAAGTCTGTTTGAAGGGGGTTGGATTTTGACATTTCCTGTTCCTGTTTCTTAAAACATTTGATTTCAACACAGAAAACTTACCATATAAAAATTACTCCAGATCTTTCTTAGTTTCATTCCTTAATGTTTTTTTTTCCTAGATTTTTTTTTTTCCTAGATTTTTTTTTCCTAGATTTTTTTTTTTCCTAGTTAACATTTAAACTTCAAGACTGCTAAGCAAGGAAATTGTAGGCCTTTGACCCACAGCATGAGTTTTTGGAAAACTGCGCACCTAGCGGTGGTCTTAAGCACTTTACAAAGATACTAAGAATTATGGTAAGAAACATAAACAAGACCATAAAAAGGTGCATCTGTTTTTAAGGGGTGGACCATACTGCTCCTAAACATCATCCTCTCCAAGCTGCCAGAGCCCCATGTAATTTGTTTAAATATTTTTTATTTCTATTCCATCTCGTGTATACCAAATTATTTGAAATAAAAACCCCTGATGTTTAATAAGATGCCAGATATCTCTACTCAGAGATAAAGATATCTGTGAGTAGAAACCTGTTTCTGACAGCCCTTCTGTGAACCTGACATTCCCCAGTTAAACGTTGAGTGTTTTGATTTATTTTGAATCTCAACAATTGGTATTAAGTTTTTGTTTTTTTTTTTCTGACACTTTTTTTTTTATTTTATTAACTTGCAGAAATTTTATGTCCTAAGCATGAAGGATGTTTCTTCAGAATGTAGCCTTGTATACTTTAACATTTAAAGAAAGATGGGCTGAATAGTTCTGGGGTTGAATTACATGGCTTAATCTGAGCTGTCAGACTTTGGATTCTGCAGTTCACTGATTGTTTCTTTACCTCATTAACATCCCTGGCAACATTTTCATTGATACCAGCAGATATTACATACATAAGCTGTGTGAAATTCAAGTGTGTATTTTTGTGCTTTCTAGGTCAGGTTCATACTTTCTGCACACACCTCTCTTAGCACTAAATTCTGCATGGGTTTACTGAGGTTTCACAGTTCATGTTCTGACCCGCAAAAAATGTAATATTCTTTTTCTGCTTTTGTTCCCAGGTCTATGTATTTTCACATGCACATTCTGAGCATCTTGGTGTTGCTCTTGCTGCCAATCAGACCTCAAGCTCACTCCATAAGAAAGGCTCAGAATCAGGCCATGCTGAACTCTGTTAAAAGAAAAGACAAATGATGACTACAAGGAAAATTGCCAACACTGGGAAATCAAGCTGTCATATTGGAAACAAAAAAGAAGGAAACTGGGTGGGATAAGGGTCAAACTACGAGACAAGTGGCATTTCTATTGCTTATCTTAAAATCTTACTGGACAGGGCAGAAAAGAGCCTGAATGACTACATTTCAAATTATTCCAGTTAACAGAGATTTTACAGGCAATGTTTACAGGCTCCTTGGGCATTTTGACTTTTTTAATAAATATTTTTATGAAGTGTTTTTATATATTTAAGCTTTTTCAGAGAGGCATTTTTGCTCTTTTACAGAAATATGCAACTATTAATCAATAAATAATCCTGTGATTAGAGGACAGGAAGCAGCTTGTAAAGAGTTAGACCAGCTGCCTGATGGCCTGGTGCTGTGGGCAGCTAGCAGGGGAAGCTTTTCATCTCTTGGCTGTGGAAAGAGATAATGCAAGTAGAAAACTACAGACATGGGGTTGCTCAAGGTGCTGGCACTGACTTTGGCCCTGGCAGGGAGAAGGGGGAACAGGGCTTTCCTGGGAAATCTCCAGAGCAGGGACTGCAGCCTGAGCTTGGTAGCAGGGGTATTTCACATCCTTCAGTGTGACACCTGCTGGCAATGAAGGTGAGACAAGTCCCTTGGGGAATAGGTGCTGGGAAACACTTGCAACTGATGCCAAAATCTAAAACCAAATAAAAGCAAAACAAAAGGCATGGGGAAACCCATCCTAGAATGAAAGAAGTGACATTTGCCCTGTGATCTGTAGAGTTGTACTTCTCTAACGACACAGCTGATGCTCGTTGCTACATCAGCTTTACTTTGCAGTTTCAGCATGATGCAGCACTTCCATTTTAGTATCAAAATAACTGGGGAGCCATGCAGGTTTAGTGTTTTAAAGCTTGCAGTTATGGGTTAATTCTGGAGAAGGTTTGTAATGGATCAGCCTGTTCTACTCAGAAATATCCAGTCTTATGGAGTGGTTACTTTCCAGCAGGATAATACTAATCTGAAACCTGAACAGTAATTATCATAACCATAATAAGTCATTCTCTACAAAATATGTGTTGTCATATGAACATCACAAGAGTCAAGACCAAGTCCTTATATGATCTCGACATGTGGCTTGGCCTGTTTATGCAAGCTGCCCTGCTTGTAAATCCTTGGCTTACAGAGATGTTTTGAGGCTTTAATTTCTAAGAGCTTATTTGTGTGTCGAGATAAGCCCTGACACAGCATTCTGCAGGTTTTCTTAATTTTTTTAAGACACACTTACCCCAATAGAACAAGCTGTTGTGACACATCAGAACCAACTAAGACATTTTTTAAAATGACTGTTTTTCAGGAATGTGTTTATTAGGATTTTGTAGAAGCAATTCTCTTGTTAAAGTATTGGTGTGACCATTGCTTTATGGTCATTTAATTGATGTGTGATTGCACAAAGAATCTGCCGTTTACTGCATCCTGATTTTTGTGTCAGATTAAAATTTTGCAGAATCCTAGTGTTTTGGGAAGAAACAAATCAGTGAAACCAAAACAAGTTTCAAAAAAAAGGTTGATTTTTTTTTTTTTTTTTTTTTTTTTTTTCTGGGGGGAATTTTTTGTCCTGTGACCACCTCAGAACTTAGAGCACAGTTCATGGAAGGGTATATTTGGTAATATATTTTGAGGGCAATGTGGGATTAAAAGGTTGATCTGAATAAACAAATTGCTGTGTGTCACTGCCTGGCATTATTCATCACAAACTTACAGAGTCTAATGCGAAACTGGGTGAATGGGTCCTCCACGCTTGTGAGGGAAAATGTTCAGGTCTGCTGGATTCTACAGAGCAGCTGAGCTTTACATCCTGCTATTGCTGAAATGGAGACAAGATGACCCCTGGTTTTGTGATTTAGTTTTCATGGCAGCTTTATCCTTAACTTGGCCAGTCCTTGTTTATCCTCATGCATGTGTTCTCCTTGTGGTTCCAGCCACAGCTGCATCTTGAGCATCTAACTTTTCCCTGTGCCATCCATGTTTCTTGTGGGAGAGGTCCAGGGCTCATCCCTGGGGAGAGCTTTCCAGGGGCTTCAGCATTGCTGGGCATGGGATCTAATTTGTATTTAAAGCAACAGCTCAGCAATTTTCTCTGTGGACTGGAACCATAAAGTCCTTTCTTTTACTGTCCTGTAAGCTGTCCCTGTCCTTGAGCATGTTCCTATGTGTCCCTTTGGAGCATGCCAAGCAATGGAGACAGTGCAGAAGTGGGATAGAAAGTGGGTAGATGTTTTTCTTCCCTTTTTGGCTGCTCTGTTCTGCATGCATACATTGCACATAGCTGGGAGTTTTTCATCACTTAAAATGAGGTAGGTGGGTGAGAAGGCCATAGATTTTTACTCTCTTTGTAGGTGTTTGCATATATATGCACTTACCTCTTTCTTGCACATTTAAAAACAAGCTCAGCAAACTATATCTGTATCCTTTCTTGGAAATACAGGTTGAAATCCCTACACCCCAGAAAATTTAGTGGTAAAATTCCTATCAGTGGAGGCACTGTCTCTGATAGTTAAAGCCTTTATCTCCTTATTCTTAAACTGGAGACTTGTGAAAAACATTTTACTGGCTGCGGTAGTAAAGGAACAAATGGAAACTTGCCATGAAAATTTAGAAGTGTGTTTGTTACAAGGGATGTCTGTAGCCCACATGTGGACAGAAGAACAGCATGTTCCTCCTCCTTGCCCAAGATAAAGTGATACGCACAGTTGCATATGGAAGTATCAAATGTTCTTTGAGGTATTATTCTCTTTTCTTACATCACTGAACTGATGTGCTTCTGCTCTCGGGGGGCTGGATGCGTTCCACTGTGACACAAAGTGGGAAGCTTTGCCTGACTTCTCAGCATGAGTACAAATACACAGTATGTGCTTTAAAAACATGTTATTTTGTGTGACATCAGCCTGCTGCTCCCTTTCTTCCTGGAGACAGCAGTAACAATAATATGCGTGAAGTGTTCGGATTTGCGCCGGGTGGAAACTGCAGCCTCCCGAGTGCTGATGAGCGTTTGCGGGGTTACATTTACGAGCAGTGCCCTCTGTGGGCGACTGGGCCAAGGTAAACACTCCAGTCGAGACTGAAGTGTGCCGAGTGAGGGGCACTGCAAATGCCTAGGGTTTTGCTAACTGCAGGACAGCAGGTGGTATTCATGATAACGAATATGTTTTGCTTTGGAGCAGAAGGCCAAGAGAAATTTAAGACCTAGGTATATTGGAAAAAACTAGTATTACAGGAGGAAATGCTGCTTGTTGGCAGAAATGAGGGTGTTTGTGTGCCTTAAGAACTTGGGGTACATTTTCGTTCACCTAACTCAAATATGGCCTGTGGAAGAGAACCACAGGATGGGGGAAATCAGTCCTGAGAAGTGCCCCGAGACTGCCCTCAGGACCCAATTTATTGTCCATCCGTAGAGCATCTCTGGAAGTGAGATACCAGGCTTGCCTGGAGGCTTTTCTACTACAGCATCGTTCCCTGAACATGTGCAGCGCAGCTTGCTTGTGAAGCCCTGGCATGAATGGCAGGCCACCAACCCAGGAGCATGCCATGCTCACAGTTGGTTTTCCCAATCCCTCTCTCATATGCGTCACTGATAAATACAGTGCCAAGTGGTATTGGGAAAAGAGTCTGTAGTGCACTGAGGCTGAACCAGTCATGGTGGGACAGGGTGAAGGGAAATACTACAAAGGCCTGGACATACTAAGCTATTCTTGCCTTGTCCAGGGATGGAAACTGGTACCCGTCTTCATCAGAAGCATCTTCAGGTGGTGATGTCACTGCTCTGAGACACACGGATTTCTCTTTTTTCATATTTGCTCTTGCTTCAATGACTTCTGTATTAGAGCTCTTTAGTTTTTCTGCTTTGTTTTATTTGTGTTCGAGAAACTTGGTGTTATGTGGATCTTTTGTATCTGATCAGGGAGATACACACACTAAAGGCAACATCAGAATATGTGGGTATAGGAATAGATAATGTGAACACATTTAATTGATATACCTGTCTGTGACTCTGATGTGGTTTGTTTTTTTTCCCCAAGTACTCTTTAATGATTCAGTGCAGTGTGCAGCAGATGGGGCAGGTTTCCCCTGAAGGCGTCTCAGGAAGCAGCTTGGACAAAAAATGGGAACCCCTCTGACACCTCCGGGCTAGCTTGGTCCACAGCTTCTCCAGGGCAGCCAGGTGAGGGGCTGCACAGAGGGCTTCAGTATAGCTTGGGGTGCTGTGTGATTCCTCCTTCTTTCATCCACCCTGTGAACATATGTGCAATGCACGGCATCTGTGCACATGCATAAGAGATGTGGAGAGAGAGACAGGAGCGAGCAACTTGTGCCCTTGATGTACAAACCTGACTGCAGGGCCCCTCTGGTACATGAAATAAGAGACAACCCTCACACAGATTGTGAGCAGAAAGACAGATCACTTTGGGCAGCAGACATAATTGTGTAGGTGGGTACTGCAGGTACAGAGAGATTGTTACAAGGGACCATGAGCAGGCAGCTGCTGCCACGAGAAGGAGCAAAAGGGATTTCTAAAGTGCCAGCCTACAGCTTCACATGTCTGCTGCCAGAGACAATGGCAAGGTTTGCCTGCTGCTTTTGGAGGAGTCCACACTGGACCCAGCACCCCTGGGGCTCAGTGCAGCCCTTGTAGGAATGATGTCTGCCATGGTGTAACTGCAGGACCTCTGCTGTACCAAGCTAAGGTACTATGTGTGTGCCTGATTGCCATTCGTGGGCATTTCAAATCCTGGGCTGGATGCTTCTGTGCTTCTCCCCTGCCCCAGTGAAATCAAGAGATGCTCTTAAAATATGAAATGTCATCAAGAATGTTTGGTGCCCTCATATTTGCCCTCTGACCTCAGTGCCTTTGAAGCCTGCACATTCAAGCCATTCCCAGCTGCAAAGGCCAGAATGCTTTTTGAAAACTACAGCTGTCAATAAAACTGTTTCCATGCTGCGCCCAGTCCCTCAATGGGTTTTGTAAATGCTGTAAAGTCACTATGGACAAGGGAGCCAGGATGAGCACGGAAGCTCTCCTCTGTCCTCTCTTCTCCCTCCTTCCTGCCCAGGGTTTCTGCTGGCAGGAGGGACAGTGGTAGAAACTGCCCGGAGGATGGGAAGCAGCGATATTAGTGGCTTTCAGAGAGCTGGCTTCTGCGGAGAGGTTTTGTTTGCAGCCAGCCGCGTGGTCCCAGCGGCGTGCTATTGGCCTGCCTCAATTAGACTTCTTGACTGATGGCC